TATATATATATATATATATATATATATATATATATATATATATATATATATATATAATATAATAATATATATATTATTATAAGGAGACAGCTTACTCCTCCCTATGGCCTCCTGGTGGGCCCTGTATGCATACTTTATGTGGCTCTCTAGAGACAGAGAAGACAGCAGCAGAGAATCCTGCAGCACCGGGATCACCTGTATACACAAACCCCACACCCAAAACCCTAAACCCTAAACCCTAAACAGTAAATAGTAAATAGTAAACTCTAATTCAAGCATGCGCAGATTTGAGGGGTTTCTTTTGTCGGGCTTAAACCCTAAACCCTAAACCCTAAACCCTAAACCCTTCTCAGCTGTATAGGTGTTCATTGTAACCAGCCCGTAACCCCCCACCCCTAACCCCTATAAACCCTAAACCCTAAACCCTAAACCCTAAACCCCCGAGCTCGCACTAGAGAACGTATGAAGCGTTCATCGTAGGAGTGTATAGGGAGACCCTCAAAGAAGATGGCTCCTCTTTGGGGCTCAAACAAACGCAGCAACAGAGAACCCACCGAACTCTTCCCGCTGCCGCTGGGACCTAAACGCAGCAGCAGCAGCAGCAGCAGCAGCAGCGGCAGTAGCAGTAGCAGTAGCAGCAAAAGTAGCAGCAGCAGGAGCAGCAGTAGCAGCAGCAGCAGCAGCAGTAGCAGCAGCAGTAGCAGCAGTAGCAGCAGCAGCAGTAGTAGCAGCAGTAGCAGCAGTGGCAGCAGTAGCAGCAGCAGTAGCAGCAGTGGCAGCAGTAGCAGCAGCAGTAGCAGCAGTAGCAGGAGTAGCAGTAGCAAAGCGAGAGACAGCACCAGACAACTGCAGCAGCAGCAGCAGCAGCAGCAGCAGCAGCTACCTGTGACAGCAACAACAGCCCCTGCAGGTACAGCAAAGTTAACGCCGCTGAGAGCCCAGCGGCCCCCCCGTAAAGGATAAGAGAACCAAACGTCTCTAAACTCTAATGCAGCTGCTGCTGCACTCGATACAGACCCTGCTGCTGCTGCTGCTGCTGCTGCTATTTGCTGCTGCTGCTGCTGCTGCTGCTGTTGCTGCTGCTGCTGCTGCTGCTGTTGCTTCTGCTGCTGCTGCTGCTGGAGGTCTCTCTGAAAACGAGCCAGCTCAGCAGAGTAGTTGAGGGGAGAGGCAAGGAGAGGGGGGGGGGGCTGCAGCAGCAGCTGCAGCATGTCATCTGCTGCTGCTGCTGCGCGGTATATGTCGCTCCATGCTGTTGCACAGCCTTGGATAGAAGAACCAACAAAAGCAGAATATAACGCCAAAGACATCACCTGACCCCCAGTTAGTACCCCTGCAGCAGCAGCAGCAGCAGCGGCAGCAGCAACAGCAACAGCAGCAACAGCAGCAACAGCAACAGCAGCAACAGCAGCAGCAACTGATGTAGTAAGGATCGAGTGAACGAGGGGAGGAAGACAGAAGAGGAAGCAAAGAAGGAGACAGAAAAATATAAGGAAAAATAAAAAGAGAGAAAGGAGACAAGACAAAACAAGGAAAGCAAAAATAGAAAGGGAGACAATACAGAAGAATAAATGACAAAAATAAAAATAAACAGAGAGAAAGGAGACAATACAGAAGAGGAAAAATAAAGACAAAAATAAAAATAAAAATAAAAATAAAAAGAGAGAAATGAGACAATACAGAAGAACAAAAATAAAGACAAAGACAAAAATAAAAATAAAACTAAAAAAAATAAAAAGAGAGAAAGGAGACAAACCCTGAGCAACAAGAGCCGCAGCAGCATTAACAAGATGAATGAGGAGACCCGACCCAGCAGCAAAGACAAACGCATGCCGCCACCCTATTGCTGCAGCACTTTTATAAGCAGCAGCTAACACGCCCTCAAGCTGCAGCAACAGCAACAGCAACAACAGCAACAGCAGTTGCAGCAGCAGCACCAACAACAACAGCAGCAACAGCAGCACCAGCAACAGCACCAACACCAGCACCAGCACCAACACCAGCACCAAAACCAGCAGCAGCAGCAGCAGCAGCAGCACCAGCACCAGCACCAGCAGCAGCAGCAGCGTGTCTAGTAGTGCGTATGCATGTGTGTGTGTTTCTCACAGCTGTTTCAAATGCCTTGGCTTCTAGGGCCTCTCCATTGAGGCTCTTGAGTTGTCTCCTGCTGCTGAGGGCCCCCGTGGCGCGGGCGAGGGCCCCCTGTATAGCTGTGCTGTGCTGCTGCTGCAGCTTAGCTACGTGGCGAGCTGAGAGACGCAGCAGAGCTGCTGCTGCTGCTACTGGCAGCAGCAGAGATAGTAAAAAAGAACAAGGAGCAGCACACCAACATAAACCTATTCCTGTTTTCGTATAACACATACACACAAACAGATAGAGAGAGAGAGATAGAGAAAGAGAGAGATAGAGAGATATAGAGAGATAGAGACATGTAGGAGACAGAAGAAGACGACAGGAGACAAAAGGAGACAAAAGGAAACAGAGACAGAGACAAAAGGAAACAGACGGGGACAAAAGGAGACAACAGGAGACAACAGGAGACAAAAGGAGACAAAAGGGGACAGACGGAAACAGGAGAAGACAAAAGGAGACAAAATGAGACAGACACAAGGAGACAAAAGGGGACAGACAAAAGGAGACAAAAGGAGATAAAAGGAGACAAAAGGAGACAGACGAAGACAAAAGGAGACAAAAGAAGACAGCAGGAGACAAAAAGAGACAGATAAAAGGAGACAAAAAGGAGACAAACGGAGATAAAAGGAGACAAACGGAGACAGACAAAAGGAGACAAAAGAAGACAAAAGGAGACAAAAAGAGACAAAAGGAGACAAAAGGAGACAAACGGAGACAGCTAGAGAAATTGTATGGAGGTTCAGGCTGCACCGCACCGACGACAGAAGTGAGGAGACACCGAAAGCCAAACGATATATCCACCAGCACGCGGCTCGCAGTTACTACGTCCTCTGCAACCCACAACAAACCCTAAACCCTAAACCCTAAACCCTAAACCCTAAACCCTAAACCCTAAACTGTCTGTTCGCTTCTATTCAACGCTAACATGCATAGACCGCTAGTACCCTTTTCTAGGGGCCTCTTAGGGCCCCCAGCGGCCCTAGGGGCCTCTGGGGGGGCCCCGGTAACATAGGGGCCCGCTGGGGCCCCGGGGGGCCCCCGGGGCCCCTGGGGGCCCCCTCAAGCAGCGGCAGGAGAGGAGCTCACGAGATAAATGCTTCCCTAGGGCCCCCAGCTGCTGCTGCTGCGATGCAGCAGTTGTCTGATAGAGGAGACGCCGAAATAGATCAGCACGGAGACGGCAGGCAACCCGCTCGATCTGCATAGACACTGGAAAACCCTAAACCCTAAACCCTAAACCCTAAAAAACCCTAAAAAACCCCAAAAAACCCTAAACAACCCTAAGAAACCCTAAACCCTAAGAACCGCTGAAACCCTAAACCCTAAACCCTAAACCCTAAACCCTAAACCCTAGACCCTGAAGGGGAGAGAGACAACCCGTACCGTCGACTCAAGGAGAAAAAGCCTCGCGAAGGACGTGAGGGCCCCCACAGCCCCCAAGGCAACGCAGACACCCAGGCGGGCCCCCGGTGTCTGCAGCTTCTCTTCAGCTGCTCCTACGAGACGACCCCAGATGCTGCGCTCTCCTGCTGCTGCTGCTGCTGCTGCTGCTGCTGATGGGGATGGTATCTTCGATCCAGGAAATGTAGCTGCTCCGGCTGATTCTGCTGCTGCTGCTGCTGTTGCTGCTGCTGTTGCTGCTGCAGAGTCGTTATCTTTCTCGCCTTCTGAACCCCGTAGAGGATCAGGGAGATCCAGCTTCGACTGCTGCTGCTGCTGCTGCTGCTGCTGNCTGCTGCTGCTGCTGCTGCTGCTGCTGGACGGGTGTTTGTGCAGCAGCATCAACTAACTTGCCTATGGCGAGAGGCAGCAGCAGCGTCGTCCCGCTGCTCAGCAGCAGCGCGAAGACAACCCCTGCAACACGGAGTTTGTCTTCTTTCAGCAGCAGCAGCAATTCCCATAGAGCTACGCGGGGCCCCCGGCTTGAGGGGCCCCCCGGTACCTTACTGGGGGCCCCCTCATCTACCCCTGGGGGCCCCTCTCTTGCATCTCCCACCCGGGGCCCCCCATCCAACCCTGATGGGGGCCCCCCCCCTGCATCTCCTCGGGGCCCCTCCACCCGGGTGGGCCCCTCTCCTGTACTGCTTCCTTGGGGGCCCCCGGTGGAATCTGGCACGGGCCCCCGGCTCGCCCTGTCGGGGGCCCCAGGGGGCCCCCCTGAAGAAAGAGAAGATGCTGCAGCAGGGGATGCCTTAGCAGCAGCTATATACTGCCGCTGAGATATCCTGAGGGGCCCCCTGGGAGGAGTCGAAAGGCTGGGGGCCCCCGTAGGAGAAACTGCAAAGTTGGGGGGCCCCCCACCTCTCACGCGAGGGCAGAGAGGGTACAGCAAGGGGCCCCGGGGCGCGGGCCCCTCATGTACTAATAGATGCCTTGCTGAGGTCCCGAGGGGGGCCCCTGCTGCAAGGTAATCTTCTGCATGAGGGGCCCCCTGAAGACGCATCGATCTGAGGTGAAGCTTACACGTATAAGGCAAACCAATGCGACGGAGGGGCCCCCACCCCGCCACCCAGGGGCCCCCCATGAATTTGGGTGCCATAGAATACGCTGTATGTACAGCAGGGGGCCCCACAGCCCTGGGAAGCCTCTGCAGCATCACCTCGATAACAGGGGGGCCCCCTGGGGGCCCCCTTCCTCCTGAAGGCGAGTAAGACTGTGGTAGTGCTGAGACCCCGGGCAATGCATGCTGCGGGGCCCCCCAAGAGAAGAGTTCAGGTAATACACAGAAATGCAGGCAGAGGGTTTGTGTTGCCGGGGGGGCCCCTCCCTGGTCCGCCTGCGGCTTGCTCAGGTGTATGTACGTACACCCGAAATCAGCGGCTCACTTCCTTCATCTGCTGCTGCTGCTGCTGCTGCTGGTTGCTTTGCTGCTGCGGTTGCTGCTGGGGGGTTTTGCTGCGTTGGCCGCTGCTGCTGCTGCTGCAGGTCCAGCAGCAGCGAGGACCCCGCGGCCCCGTGTTTGTTGCAATTCAAATATTCATGGATCCGTGTTGTGAAAATTTTGAAATAAATTTCAGAAATCAGCAGAAGAAGGTCGAAGATGAATGCTGAAGGCGGAGGAGTTTCTCTGTGTATCTATCGAGACCCATCAAGCAGGGGCCCTTCTCCTTCTTTTGTTTATTTATTTTATTTTTTTCGTTTGTCTGGCGCAGTTACATGCAATAAATTTGTAAAATATATTACGGATATACAAATAAAACTTTTTTCATGTTTTTGTTTAACATCATCGGCGGCTGCTGCGCCGCGGCAACCCCCAAGGCGCTCGCCTGTGAGGTGTATGCACAGCTCTTCTGGTGTATATTCAGCTTTTTATTTTTTGTTAAATATTTGTTTTCAAATCTTTTTTTTTGCACTATATGCTGGGCTTGGGGCTTCGCCTCTGATGTAGATATACAGTAGACGATCCAGGGAAAGGTGTTTTCTCCTCTCTTACAGTTTCAGTTCCTCTTAGAATCGAAACAAAAAAAAAAAAAAAAAAAAAAAAAAAAAAAAAAAAAAA